GCTTGTCTCGTAGGACAGTTACGAATAAGTAGTGAGTTCGATCCTCACTGGGTGCCCCCCTACTTTTAGCCTTGTGTCACATCTAAGCTACGCTTGGAAAATCATTATAGGAAAGAAGCTAAAATAAAATGACCAGCATAGTTGGGTAGGTTTACGCGAATTTATAAATTCTTATTAACACCACTAACAACAACTTGGCTCATGGAAGTCAGATGAGATACTGCCTGAAAACAGGATCCATGTCTATCCACTTTTATATTCATTTCCTTTTTCAAATTGTCTCTATTCAAGGCTCCTTGACCATTGGTGCAAATGTTTAATCGGTACGTTGGGAGTGGTATATATTCAACTCCCATTCTGATCATCGCAGTCATGTTACAAAATTAGTGACAGCTACTGAACTCATGCTCTCACTCCCTCTATCACTTCACACTCGCTCTTTCTACACATTCACTTTTTCTCTCTGCATGCGGTTTTACTCTCTACTCGTTCTCTCTCTATGCGCTCTTTCCTTCTACTCGTTCTCTCTCTATGCATTCTTTGCTTCGGCTCGTTCTCTCTCTATGCACTTCGGCTCGTTCTCTCTCTCTCTCTGCTCGTTCTCTCTCTCTCTCTGCTCGTTCTCTCTCTCTCTCTCTCTGCTCGTTCTCTCTCTCTCTCTCTCTGCTCGTTCTCTCTCTCTCTCTCTCTCTGCTCTCTTCTCTCTCTCTCTCTCTCTGCTCGTTCTCTCTCTCTCTCTCTCTCTGCTCGTTCTCTCTCTCTCTCTCTCTGCTCGTTCTCTCTCTCTCTCTCTGCTCGTTTCTCTCTCTCTCTCTCTCTGCTCGTTCTCTCTCTCTCTCTCTCTCGTTCTCTCTCTCTCTGCTCGTTCTCTCTCTCTGCTCATTTCTCTCTCTCTGCTCGTTCTCTCTCTCTCTGCTCGTTCTCTCTCTCTCTTTACACTCTCTCACCTCCTCTCTACTCAAGCTCTTGCACTCTCGCTCTCTTTCTCTCTACGCGTTTTCGCTTCCCCCCCTCTCTCTACCCAATGTTACTTTTAGTATCTCGGAATATCGGCATATTAAATCTTAAAGTTTTCATTTCGTTTTCTTTCTACGCTCTTTTATTAAATGTGGCTATCCAGAAAGGAAGATAAAAACTATTTTTTCATTAGGCTGCTGTCAGTTTCCCGAATAAGAAGTTTCGTTTTACATTGGTTAAAGAAATCTACAAATTGTTAGCTTAACAAGACCAAAACTCATGACTCTTTAGATACCACTGTCTGCCTCCTCACCATAGAATTCTCACACATACACTGACGAAAAAAGCAAAATGAAAAACATCGTGACCAATTTTGACCTGGGCAGAGAATATGCATGCGATTGGCGAGCAGAGATTCTGATAGAATTTTCAAACTTTTCGGCCATCTCGTGATGTAGTAACAATTATATAACTGTATCGTCTGTTGTTTGAGCTTTAGACGATGAAAGAGTCCATTGCAGATGGGGGTCCGCTTACGGTGAATCACGCGCGTACCTTGTGTTCAATTAAAGTGGCTTGACAAGGTTCGGATTGTAGGCCTCTTAGAAACTGCAATGGTCACCCGCAGTTCATCCGTAGACATGTTCCAGGACATCGATACAGAACAGATCGACTTATAGTGATGGTAGCGTTAAAAGATCGTACAGTGTCCAAAGCCAATGCGGCCCCATGAACGGCACCACGGTGTGTTGGGTTTCATTTATTTGCAACAGGATTAGTCACGCGTCTCTCTCACTAGACCTTCGCCATAGCACAATCATTCACGTTTCCAGTCATGTCGCGAAAAGTTTCCTTGGAGGATTTTTCTTCTTCTTAGAATGTATTCATCCATGCCTAACTCCTGGCTTTATGATGTGGTGTAACAATTTGAAACTCTTTCTCGTCTTTGTTATTTGTAGAACAGTACCATATACGCCCAGAACATTGTTCAGCACGTTCTGATACTCATTCCTGCAATTGGAAACTAATGTGCTTTTCCAGCAGGTGATATACGTTGGAATTTCGAATCGAACCCTTTTAGTCCACTGGGATAGTTTGTTCTAGTTCCACGTGCCGTGTCCTTTTCGGATATTTCAGTATTAGCAAATTCTTTTTAGTAACTGTCCAAGTTTTTGTTCACAACTCTTTGGGTCAAGGGACTGGCTTACTTCAACCAACGCTTTTATCCACTGGGCCATGTGTCTTTGGGGACCCCCAGTGAACTAAATAAAGGGTTCGGTTTGAAATTCCAGCTTATATCACCTGAAGAAGGCCGAAACGTTTTGAAGGTAACAAAGATGAGGACAACAGTCTTAACAATGTAAATAGTGTAAATAGTAACTATACCTCATCTCAGGAATAGAGACAGATTTAAATTTGTTTTTCTGTCCTATTAAAAGAATGTCTTTCAAGGTGACCTTGCGGGATATCTTCTCATAGACCAAATTGGTTTCTAAATTTTGCCAGTATTTTTAAAATAAATTCAAATTCAATCTGTCAGCTATGTACACAAGTCAACACTTCTAAAACAAATATTCTGGTTGGATGATGTTTTTTTAATTGTTCGTCCAATACAAGTCCCGAGAGCCATTCAAGGCAGAGGGCTACCGAATGAAGTTGTTGTGTGAACGTAAAAAAAAGCGAATCATAAGGAAATAGGTGAAAGATAACTGTTGAGTCCAGATTGGGAAGCATCCACTCGGGAGTCTGTTCCAGAAATCAGCGGCTCTCGGGACTGTACCGAGGCTATACGATCGATTTATTTTTTTCCCTCCTCTCTAAAATTGACATAACGAAATTAAATAGGGTTCATGTTGAAGAATAAAAGATATATTTCTTAATATTCGAACAAGATATTTAAAGGGATGTAAATTTTATCATAAACGTTCAATATACGCACCCCGTGACACGACACACGTCGAATCGGTAGTCCAGCTCTTGGCAAATACGATGTAACAAGTCTTGCGTACCATTCTCCAGCACCTCAGTGATTCTTTGCTTAAGTTCTTTTAGGCCTGTAGGAAGAGTGGGGGACATAGACCTGTCCTTTCACATAGCCCCATAGAAAAAAAATCACAAGGGGTCCAGTCAGGTGAACGTGAAGGCCATTTCAACAGCACATTGTCATTATCATTGGCACACCTAATCCGTCTGCCTGTAGATTCTCAATGAGACACGTCCGCACTGTCAACGTAGATAAATTTTACACATTTTGTTAAAATTTGAGCGAGAATTGGCCATTTTATTAGACTACAAAATAATGTCATTTTGGGGTTCTCAAAAATGTCTACACACTTCTGGAAAAGAAAATAACTTGTCTTTCTTAGTTTAATCAAATTGCGATAACACTCCTGACAAATGTCATTACCCTCATGGCTGTAGTATCAAAAAATCCTAAAGGATGTTGTGTATCGCAGAAAACCGATTCCGTTGGCTGCCCTTAGACAAGAAATTGAAATTGCATGTGTAGCAATTCCACTGGACACTTTCGTCAACGTTACCCAAGCAGTAGTTCGCCGTACTAATAAATGTCTGGAAGCTAAAGGCCACCATTTTGAGCATCTCTTATGATTGTGGTGTCCAAAGCTAACTTGTATTAATCTCGTGATGTCTATATAAACTTAGTATTACAATATCTATACAAGTTTTTTCATTCCTGAAGTGTGTATACATTTTTGGCGGACTCTGTTTGTGTGTATGTCGATTTCATTAAAAAAATAATTTCCAATATACTTGTGGAGGGTCGCTTAGCAACATCTCCTGGTAAATAAGTTTAGAGTCACGTATGGTCAATAAATTTGTATTGCAAAACGTAGATTTATTTGAGGTATTTATTTTTATGTGTCATTTTTAACGAAAGCTTCTGGATATCTCTCTCTCTCATATATATATATATATATATAATCTCTCTCTCTATATATATATATATATATATATATATATATATATATATATATATATATATATATATATATAATCTGCAACAGGGCGTATATCCAATGCATTTTCATAGTGGATGAATTTATTGCTTGCGTTAATCCCGTACAAAACCAGAATATTGGGCACTTAGTGTAGACCAAATCACTACTAGCTAAACAGACTGCAAAATTAGCTTTCTAGCCCATTTCTGGGGAGTCGGAACCTTCCCCTTTATTCGTCGTTACTAGTCTTTGGTCGCGAGTTCGATCCTCACCAGATGCTGTATAAATTTAGATTCGTTCTTATAGATATCAACCTTCTGTAACCTTTCGCTATTTTTTTTTTCAACTGGTGGTACTTACGATGAGTGAACGGAGGGATGCTTGGGGCTGGATGGAAACTGAGGGAACAAAGAGGAAAGAATGCACAACCCATGTGTTCTTAATTTTTCGAAGGATTCCTTCTTGAAGAATCCAGATGCGTGGGGGGGGGGCAAATGTCATGAGTAAAAGAGGAGGCGGAATAGGGAAAAAGGCAAACGTGGTAAAATGTCTAGATGATTGTTTCTCGAAATATTGACGACAAAGCAGAAATTACCAGGGAATTCTGAAATTCAGGATTCTACATCCTACAAGCCTTCTTTTGAAGAACGATATATCCAACATAGGAATTGAAAAGAAATCAGTGGGCGGGGGTCATGACCTCTTAGCTTGGTTGTTTTTGTTTAGCGGCATATCAACACCTCTATGGGTTATTTAATGCCGACATCTAAATATTTTGCATGATTTTTTTTGAGATAATAATCGTTTTAGTGATACATATCTTACTAAGTAATTCCTAAAGAGAAAAAATGAATTTATACCTAGATTTCAAGAATTTGGTGGGGGGGGGATAGGGAGATAATGGTTTAGGTATATAAATCTTACTAATTAACCCATAGCTGGGGGAGACGATGTGGGTCCACACCTTTCTCAAGGATATTTGCGCGTGAATGAATATAACGAACCCAACTGGAATTGGAACTCGGCTCTTTGATCAGGAATTCTGAGCCGTTATCCATTACACCACCCGCACTCTCAAGCTGTGCATGGTATTCCCAAGCGGTCACCCACCGAGGTATTGACAAGGCTCGATGTTGTTTAACTTCGACGATCGTACGAGAATCGGTGTTTCAACGTGATGCAGTCGACATGATGCACATGACATCTCAGTCAGTTTTACGTCCTCAAATCGCTATTAAAGATATAGTTTATTTTTAGCAATCATAGAAATATTTGCCATTTTTGTAATTTTTTTTTTATTATCTCTGAACGCATGCGTTGGAATATGAAAACGAGACTTGAATCCTAAGGGCATTTTATTTTTTTATAGAAAAAATATTTATCAGCTCACAGAAAATCTATTAAACATCTGTGTGTGTGTGTGTGTGTGTGTGTGTGTGTGTGTGGTAAAACTAGTTTTCATTATTATCAGACTCTACAAGTCCCTACAAATTCTGACCTAGTTTATTGCGTTTGCTTTCCAACTAATGCATTTGCAAAAGGCATGAATCCGTCTTTTTTCTTCCCAGCAATATGGCTTACGGTCATATCACATTTTCTATAAATACTTTCATCTCATCATTTTATAGTTGAAATTGGTACATGTAACCGTAAGTTCTATGCTAGCAGTTTCTTCTCTCGCACTTCTTGCTTGTGGAACTCTCTTCCAGCTTCTTGCTTCCCAGTCAAGTTTGATCTTCAAAAACGGGAATTCAATGACAATCTTTATCTTCTTAATACCTGTTTTTTATTGTTCTTTCTCCTTAATAGTGTTTTTCTTTTTATTCTGCCTTTTTAATGCCTTTTATGTTGTTATTTTCACAACGTTTCGGTCGTTGTGCCCTCCGACCTTCATCAGGTGTATGTCGATCCGGGTAACCTACAGGAAATTCCAAAACAAACGCTTTATTTAATCCGGGGGGCGTAGACTGTTCTGGTTCCACTGTCCGTGTCTAATGACATCTCATCTAATTTTTAATGGAAACAGGGCGAGCAATAACCGAGCAGTACTAAAAATAAGAACTAGACGAGATATCCCTAGACATGGGCAGTGGAACGAGATAACAACAAAGACGAGAACAATAGGCTGTATGTATGATAACTCCTCATCCCTGAAATTCAGACAGAAGCTTCTTTTTCTTGTTTCACTGTTCACGTCTAGGAATATCTCGTCTTGTTCTTTTTGATTACTCTCTAAATTGTTCGATCTATTTGTCACAAGTCTGAGTCTTCGATATGTGAATTTTGTGGAGAGTATTGTGAGTTTTTAAATCGACAGTCAATTTTACGTCCTGGGTATGACGATAAACTACAGCTGGCAGCAAGGCCTCTGATCGGGAGGTTTCGAAGAGTGTAGAATCACCCTTTAATTGCTGTTGTTCCAAGAGCCACTCTGAACCGGCGTGGTAGCACCTGTTAGGTTCCCAGCTATGGGCAAATAGTTAACCCCCAAACTGGGGTTAAAACACTATGAAAGTAAAAAGAGATTTTTATAGTAAAAATACTGGCAATACATTTTTTGAAAAAAATATTCCCAATACATTTGACTCTCGACAAAAAAATAAAAATACTTTACAAAAATACGTCAATGAAACTTTTAATATAAACTGATTTCTTACAAAGAATATATATTCTATTCATACGAACCTACCCTAAAAGTTTTGACGGCATTAAAAAACATATTGAGGTTGATATGCCGTAAAACAAAATAAACCAAACAAAACCAATTAATTTTATTGCATTAATTTTGTCCGAAGTTCCTATTTTCTTCTGTCCTGTTTTTGTTCAAGTACTTTCGACTTTCTCAGTCATTATAAAGAACTGGTTGGTATCAATGTGGTAGGCAACATTTGGTTGATTACATGCTAGCTTTTTTTTTTTTTAATTTAACACTGGGATTTATATTAATCCAAAGTGACGTCATGTGATTTTGATGTACAAAACTTTATTCGAAAATTGGAAAAATAGAATAAAAAAGTTATAGAGCTTGTCAATTGAATTGAAAGAAATTTGTTTTGAAGAATTTTTGTTGCCTAAATTTGTTATGAATGTATTATTGCTATAAACATTTTATTTTATATGTAGACTTCGAAAGGTCCCTACGAGAAATGTACTTTTCTTAAATAGGGTAATTGAACATGTTTTTCTCATGATAGGTTCCAGTGGCGTAAAGGTTAAGAAACTCTTAGGTAAAAAGTGATCTCTCTGATTGAAAAATGGGGGGAAAAAAAGAAACGAGGAAGATAAATAATTCTGACAAAAATTACTCTTCTTGAAAAGCTTTTCTTTTGCAAGATAAAATCGATAAACCTACCGTAATTAACACTTTACCTTATTCTCTCTTTCTCTCTCTCTTTATTCTCTCTTTCTCTCTCTCTTTTTATTTATTTCTCTCTCTCTTTTTATTTTATTTCTCTCTCTCTCGCCTTGAAAGTTGAAGCTAAATTTATGTCATATTTGCTGGTTACCTTATTCATAAATCACCTGGATGGAAACTCTTTTGTTCGGTGTTGCTGTCACCCTAAACCCAGCCCCTCCGAAATTTGCCTTCTTCGCTCGTTCGCTTATCTCAAACAACATAGACCTGCTATAACTGACCGACCGACCAGTAGTTGATATTAAGGTCACAATGACCTAAGATTGGTCGCCAGCCTTGTCAACGTAATTTAACAACCGAACCGTTTGGAAGAGAAGTCCAGCGAATCGACGGTAAGGGCAGGAGATGAGGTATATAAAGAAAAGCAGTTAAAAAAAAAAGTGGGTTAACCTATTTGTAGTTTGGAGGCGGGTAGAAACGAGAAACAGTTAATACAAAAAAACGTGCCCTGTAACTGTCATGATAGCACTCGAAAAACTCGTTCGACTAAACGAAGACTTTCTCCTGCAGCATGCTACATCATCTCCAAGCCGTTTTTAATGGAACCACTTGAGAGCATCTGTTGTCACTGAATCTTACATGGATTTGGCCCTAAATCCTCATTCATAATTCTCTTTAGCGGGCGACACGAATTATCCAGATCTTTGCCATCTTCCCCTTCATGGATTTCTATTCATCCTCTTCTTGACGGCTTCAATGATTCTCCTGGTACAAACTGGAATTGGATTTGGTGAGGTTATTTCCTCTTCTTGAAACTTTTTGCATACATTAAAAACAGTTTTTCTTTCAACATTCAACTGTTTTATCACCTCCATAATAATTCATATCAGCCACTTTCAATGAGACAATTTGATCACGTTTCGTCTGAGCCGCCATATTTAATTAAACTGAAAACAACAAAACCAAAGAATTTTAGCAAGCCTTATACAAAATTTGGAACGATTTTACGAAATAGGTATGTTTCAATTTATGTTGAAATAATGGGTAAATATAGTAGACATTTTAAAAGTAATATTATATTTTTAATTAGGGAAAAATACAGGAATAAAAAGTATAAAAATATCAATGACGTATGCACATTTTCAATGGACAACATTTTCAAGTATTTTTTTCGTCATAAGTGTAAGTAAATATATCATTGTATCGTGTATCATTGTAAATCTGTGTTAAGAGTGTGTCTTCATGTCTGATTAAAACCATCTTTTGTTTCGGAACTGTGAAAATGTCTTATGGAAAGGACACAATGTGTGCTTTTAATGACACCAGAAATTTCGTCAACTCAACTGAGAATCCAGAAATACCAAGTCACTTCCTGAAATATTCAAGACTTTCAAGATATTTTTCCTTAACCGAAAATCGTTCCTCTGTAACTTTATAATAATATCATTATCTTACCATTGCTGAGTTTTGGCAGCAGTTTGGGGCACTTTTCGCAATAATGCGTACAAGAAAGATAAGAATATGTCTCTTCTCACCTCCAGTTTGGGGTTAAAAGGAAAATATGGCGAACGAAAAACATCTCCACTAACTTTGCGAAGAATGCATACCAATTCAGAGATAATAAATCATCCTGGGTATGACGTTAAACTATATCCGGCAGCAATGCTTCTGATCGGGGGTGGGGGTTTGAGGAGCGTGGAACCACTTTTTAATTGCTGATGTTCCCAGGGGTCCACCGTAACCCGGGGTGGTAGCACCTGTTAGGGTCCCAGCTATAGGTAAATAGTTAGCCCCCAGACTGGGGTCAAGCACTATGAAAATATAAATATTTTTATGGTAAAAATTACCAGCACTACACTTTCATAGTAAAAAGAAAAAGATTCCAGGAATGCATTTTGGCAAAAGAAATTACTAATGCTTACAAGAAAATTACATTTCGGCTTAAAATGACCCATGAGGAGTTGAGATACCGCTAAACAAACAGATAATAAAAAAATCTGTGGAAAAGGCAACTGGAAACCACTCCACAATTTCTGAGCCGACCAAGCATAGAAATGAATACAATATGGGAACCAGTAATAAGGAGTGCCAGAGAAAAGCGATAACAACAACGAAAATTGCAATATGCAATGATAACAGAAATATGCAATGATAACAGCAAAAATTGCAATATGAGCACTGGTAAAATAAAAAAAGATGGCTGAAGACATTAGGTTTATAATAACCAGACATACAGATGTCCTCAAGTACACATGGCACAGTGGATAAAGGCGTTAGTTAGATCCAGTGACAGGACCCAACGAGTGTGAGTTCAATACCCGGTTAAGGCGTTGGAGAACTTGGAGAGGGGAATTAACAGGAGATAACTGATAACTAGCATTCATTAGACATGGCACGTGGAACTAGAACAGTCTACACCAGTGAGAGAAATAAAGGGTTAAGTTCGACATTCCAACCACCTGAAGAAGGCCGGAGGGTACAACGTTGTGATAAATATGGTAACAGTCCGAATAATGTAAATAGTGTCCATAATTTTTCCCCAAAAGTCATGGCCATTCACAGATAATAAAGAAAAGGAATCCGTGATCGCCTATTGACTGAAGGGACATAACGCATTTGGTGGTTTTCATTGGAGATAAAGTGCCCGTATGTCTCTTCAGTAGACTCGTCAAGTTTATTTTAACTAATTTTAATGATGTCGTCGTTGGAATGGGTTCAATTTTTGTAATCTTTTTACAAAGCACGTCTGTGACAGTTTCAAATCAATTATTAATAATGTTTATTAGTGATTTCCTTTTTGTCTGCATTAATTATGATTT